GCTTTTATTCATAAATTCAAAGCATAAAACAAACGTTCTAATCTTTCAATTCCCATTTGGTCATGAATAAGTCAATGAGCCAGACTAGCTGGATATTTTCAAGCATGGCAAAAAATTCTCTCCATTCTTACCAAAATAACTATGGGTGTCAAAAGACAGGTTAGCCCTGAGCCAAATTCTGCTTCTCAGGGCTTAGATGATGACAATTATTTGCTCTTTAGAATTTATTTTTTCTTTACAGCTTTAGTTGAAAATATATACACTGTTTAACACTGTTCCTGAATTTAATTTACATGATCAACAAATTTCATATGTTCTATTAAAGTGAGATTCTTCCAAACAATTTTTTAAATAAATTTTTAAAATACAGTCTGCTTAACATACTTTGCTTTGTCAAAGGCAATTCTGCCTCTCAGTAATTCAGAGCAGCCTGTCTTCATACCAGCAAATAAAGTATTGTGGGGTGCTTTTTTAATATGATATTTAATTACTGTATTTAGAAGCGAATACTGCAAATCCTCACTTCCCACTGCTATTTCTGTCCAGTCATATACTACAAAACTAAGACAAGTGTTGGGAACAGAAGCCATATTTATTCAAATTTAGAATAAAAATAATTTTAAAGAGTTTAGAGAGAGATGATGTTTACTACTATAAAGTATTAGGAGACACTATTAATTATTTATTTCTTCAAATGCTGGTTGCATAAGGATCAGTAACTAGGCAAAAACTGGGGGCCTGTACTGGAAAGGAAGACAGTACAGATAATGTAATAATGTTTCCTCATTGACGGTCATATTATTTACTCTTTTCCAAATAAACTAATTAAAAAAAGACTTACTGCAATTAGTTATGCAATGCTACTGCACCACTCTACAATTAAAACGCTCATTATAAGGAAGCTAGGAAAGAATTCTGTATTTAAGTTGCTCAACAACGTTCATCAAAAGAAGATTGTGATCTTTCCATGGAGTGGGTGTCTCCATCACTCATTTACAGCAAGCCCTTGAGGAAATTCCTCCAGCTACAGAAGTGCCTCTTTCAGAGGGCAAGAGACTCTATGAAGAGTTTTTATTATTTTTAAAATTATATAAATACTTCACAGACACAACTTTCTCTATAGTACCTCTCAGTAAAATTGGTAATGTGCCAAACTAAATAAGCATAAAGACATGAAAGCCTTTGCTAAGTCAAAGTTTCATGTTTTCATTCTTTAACAAGTTTACCTAATTAGGGCAGATACCTTTCGAGATGAATTCACTTTGGCATGCAAGAAATAGGTTTCATTTTATCTTTCCCCTCTAATTAAGCATATTTCACTTTTATACACACACACACACACACACACACACACACACACACACACAGACATTTAACCAAGCTTTGCACCAACTTTTCTCCTTCTCACCTTGATTTAGTCAATGGGATTTTCTTTATTAGGAAGTCTCCTTAGTCTGGACCGATGACTCCAAAAAACATACAAACACACACCTGAACAGGTATGCCTGTTTTTTTTTATTATTATTATTATTTATTATTTTTTATTTTTTTTTAAACAATTGCTCCCAAAGGAAACAGCAGAGAAGGGGCATTTGGGCAGTTGTTGGAGAGGAATAGAAGGGATATAGGCCCTATGGCAAGTTCCAGCAAGCTAACAAAGTGGCTGCAAACACTGCAGCAAGTAAAATGGAAAGCCTATATGAGCACCCATCTATAGGAGACAGCTACATAGCTCAACTCCAGCCATCGGTATGTCCATTGCAGGCAGGGGACACTATACAGACAAAACTTGCTCATTGTTGGAAACTGAAATGGAAGAAAGGAAACCACAGGTCGGGAGAGAAGGTAGATAGCTAAGTGTGTTAGGTTATTATTGAGGATACTACAATTTCAGTGCTGACAGACAAATTCCAATAGAAGATATTACAGTAGATCCATAAGGTCTCACTCATTACCAGCCAGTAAAGTCTGATAAAATTTGGCATCAGTAAAGTTTGATGAGACCAGGTGAAGGGGTGAGGTACAATGTGAGAGGTTGGTTTGGTTTGAGGTTTTTCACCACCCAGTTGTCCAGTCTGTCCAGGTCCCTCTGGATGGCAGCACAGCCCTCTGGGGTACCAGCTACTCCTTCCAGTTTCGTGTCATCAGCAAACTTGCTGAGGGAGCACTCTGTGCCTTCATCCAGGTCATTGATGAATAAATTGAACAGGACTGGACCGAGGACTGACCCCTGGGGGACCCCACTAGCCACAGGCCTCCAACTAGACTCTGCACCGCTGATCACCACCCTCTGAGCTCTGCCATTTTAACAATATGTTTGGTATTCAACTTAGGAGTAAATCCTCCCTCTTCGCGTAGGTCATTGTCTCAAATGTACCTCAGGTACTACCATCAGGTTTCTCGTACTGTTTTGACAAGCTACAATTCAAAAACTCAAAACTGCCATATCACACAAATTCACATATGCACACATATCCTTCCTTCATTTGCAATTAGAAAAAAATCAACTTACTTTTTCCTTGGTTCTCAATTCATTGAATATCTGCTGAATCTCCAATTTCCAGTCATCTTGCATGGAATGGAAAGATTCTTGAGGCATTTCAGTCATAACTGCCCTCTCAATGGCAGTAAGCTGTTCAAGAATTAAGGCAAACGATGGTCGGATATGAGGATCCTGTTCCCAGCATTCTAGAATTTATCAAAATCCCATCAGTTTTTAATAGGACATAGAACTTTTTGAAGAAATACATGAATTTCAAGTTACTTGCTATTGTATTTCAAGTTCTAACGCATTTCTGTTATCTGTAATGCTTCCCTAAATTAATTCCCATTTTTAAAAAATGGGATTTACCCACTTGCATTCAGTGACATCATTTGAATAATCGTATTTTTTCATCTCTATTTTAGAATCTCAAATAATAAAACTAACAGTACTACATAGAAGGGCCTCTTATGTAACCAAAAAGTATAAAAAACCAACCAAACAAACAAAACCACTCATTGTAGGTAAGGAAACAGACATTAGTCATTCTCTCTAGAGAATGTGAGAAACATTTTTGGCACTTGGGAAGAAAAAAAAACGAGGCAAAATATGGCATTTGTGATCCCTCCCCTTCAGATTCTAGTCTTGATTTTGTATTGCTCTGTGGCATATTCTCTATATTATGAAAATTAATACAATTTGACAGTAAATGGAAATCTCTAAAACCAGAGCAATAAGCTAAAAAAAAGTCTTCAATTACCACTGAAGAAGTGCTATACTGTAATACTGCATGACTTGCTCTGAAACACATTCAGATGTGTCAGCTGTGGAAAGATAAACAGGATACTCTACATTTTGAAAAGGATACGTACCCCAAAAAACAAATTATTTAAATAGATGGGAAGAAACAACATAGCTACCTTTCATCAGTTTTGCAAAAGGTTCAGGACAGGTGGATGGAATGGGCAAGGTAAGCTTGTTGACAGCGACTCCATAAGCCACAGCAAGTCCATCAATGCCACGGTAAGGAACTTCTCCTGTAAGCAGTTCCCACAGCAACACTCCATAACTGCAAAAGGCAATTATTAACCAGTTATTTTGTGAATATTGGCACACTTTACTCAAAAAAAAAAAAAAAAAAAAAAATCTGCCCAGCCACGTCCTGGAATCCACGTGGATTTCCCATATCAGAGGTGAAAGCCTTTATGGACCTATTCCTCTTCAGTCATCTTGCATCTTGCCACTAACAGTGAGCAGCCACATTGGACATGACCCCAAAGGGACAGGCTTGTGCCCTTACCCTGTACATTGTCAGTCCATAACTGGAAAAAAAAAAAATCTAGAGAACTTCTATCCAAAACGTTACCTAGATTCATTTTTATAGACATGCTAGTGTCATGTAAATCTCACTTGTAATTGCAAGTTTGAACCACAAGAAAACAAGCAACCCTCTCCCCACCAGAAATAAAACAACAAAAAAACAAGGAACAATGAACTCCAAATTCACAGCAGAGCATTCAGACAATACCCCTTTTCAAACATTTCACAACAGTCACAATACTGTCACAATATGTGCTTTTTTATTATTATTAAAAAATATCACTGTTTGGAAGTTTGTATTTTTAAATCCCTTGTACGACATAAAAAGACCTGTTAACTTTTCACTTCACACAGTAGATGCTATAGGATTGATCTGTAACAGGATGCCTGTAATATTCAAAATCACTTCCACCATATATATATAAAAAAAAATCCAAAAGAACAACCAGTCTGCAGTGAAAAGTGATGGTGCAAAAAGATACAGAAATCTGGCAAGTTTTACAGCAGCAACGTTACTAGGCTCTCCAATCTAGAGGGGAAACGAGATATTATTTTTCTTCTTTGGGTTTGTACACACACCTGCCTGTTTGAACAATTCAAACCCTCCAAGCGCTGAGACAGCACTCCAGGTGTTGCTGTTCTACTTTGGTGCTCCTATTCCAATACCACTGAAATTAATAACTTGCAGAGCCTTTTTAGTGAAAGCAGGAATTAGTCCTTCTGGAACATAAATTTAACATTTACTTGGTTGACTTATAAGGCTAACTTTATTACTTATTTTTCTTTTTTCCCCAGCAAGGAACAATGCTATATGGAACATGGAAAGAAAAGGCAACATATTGTTGTTTTCAAATAGTGAACTGAGCAGGCATAGGGAGAAAAATAGAATACAAAGTACCGCTCTTGCCCTTCCTTTCCAGATGCGCAAAGAATTTGCCTGTAGGTTGTACAGCACTGGATCAAGGTCTCCTACTACATAAGGAGGAACGCCCACAGCCTTAGAGAGGAAAGGATTGTGCACCTCTATGCATCCAACATTATCACTAGTAAATATAATCCCAGTTACAGATGTGAACACACTATGGAATTTTTCCATCACTCATCTTTTGCAGGACTGTAGAAAAACTTATAATATCACCTTAATAACGAATAAAACAGCACACAACACAAGCACTTACAGAATTTTTGTGAGCAATAACTATATAGCAATCAATTTCAACTAAACAGTAGTATGATTTAAGTAAGTACTGTTTATCTATGAAGTTTTACCTGTCATAAAACCTTACAAAACCACAGAATTTACATTAATAACTGATCAAAAGTAGAGAAATATGTTGTACTCCTTGTTTAGGAAGTGTTTACAAGTATAAGAAAATTCCTGGACTTCTTATAAAGTGGCCAAAAAAGATTTCCTGGGTAATCTATGTACCCATTGGCATGCTCTAAGGAGGAGAGAATAGTATAAATTCCAATATTGTTTAAAAATATTGGTACTTCCAGCAATATTGGATTCAACACTTTGGACAGCACATATACATTTTATATGCGATGCAGGAGTTTTTTGAACATGCAGTTCCTCTTATTTGTGCGTTTAGAGAAAGTACAAATCTTATGCTCTGTCAGCAAGCATACTATTCTTAAATCAAGGAACTCCTCATCCAAACTATTCTACACAATTTGGCATGACTTCTAAAGTTAAGCAGAAGGACAAAAATTTAGCTTGAAAGAAATCATCTTCCATAAAAAAGTATTGTCATCCTACTCGGTATTATATTCAAAATGCAAACCTTTAATGCTAAATAGTACTCAACAGTGCCAAAAGGTATTCGCAAAATTTTAAACAGACACAATAATAGCCTAAAAGCACTTTTTTAAATGAAAATAAGGTCTAAATACTGGGTACCAAGGGCCAGAATTGGAGTAGGGGGGGAAGCAGCCCTACAAATGTTCTAGTCCCACCCTGCTTGAGTTTTTGGGAGGTGCTAGTCTATCATTATCTGCGATAATAACTACCCATTAACTCTCATGGACATGGAAGTAGCTGCTTTGTGCATTGTTTCCCCTGCCCACATGCAGTCATCACAGGATGCTGTGACAGAGCTTCTAAGAAACAGCTTTTTAAAAGGAGCTAGAGCCATTTCTTGTGACATCTTCAGAAAGACATAAGCGTTATCACTTGAATTATACATTTTAAACCACAAACTAATGCATTTCCACTAAATATTTTCATTATTAAAATTTATTATTCTGTCTTGAAATGTAATTTAAGCCTTACTGTTTCTTATTCCAGTAATAGCCTGCTGCTTTTGCACATTTTAAAAGCTGATCAAACTGAAGGTAATTTAGGTTCTCCAAGTTTATATTATTCAAGAATCCATCTCCTAAATCAGCGGTTCCCAAGCACTGCTACATGAATCACTTCAAAATGAAAACAGCCGAGGCAAAAGCAGCTGCTAATTCTGCTCTACATTAAGTGCTCCCAGGCCTTGTCAAGAGCCCATACAAGGGAGGTGGGGCCTACTGAAGTGCCACTGCTGAAACACGCCAGCATCACCTGGAAATCTGTGGACTTATTTGCGCTTTCTGGCTTTATAGACCACAGCAAGGCTGATACACCACAGAAAGCACGTGAGGAAAGAGGGAAGCCAAGGGGTGAAAGACCAGAATTCTAGTTTGGGAACGTGAAGGTGTATTCCAAAGAAGGACAACACAACGCCTACAGGCTTTGCCTGGGAAGCAAGCCCTGGCCTGGGGAGCACCAATACTGCTACCTATGACTACACCTGAGAAAATGTGGCCTGCAAGGCACTGTACTGAAGTACTCCCAGGAGATGCCCCAGCACTGACAGGTTCCAGGACTCTACTTGAGAGGGTGATCAAACTTGAGCAGCCTCAGCTGCTGGTAGGCTTTTTTGTTTTTCAAAAAGAGGTCCTCCTTTGAAAACTCGGTACTCAGTACACACAGCTTCAGCTCACATCTTTCCTCAAACGTAGCCTGTTTTGGACCTGTGAAAGCCTTTACTCAATTTTGCAAATGGAATTTTTCTGAAATAAAAAGCACTTCCATCTTTGAGTATTACTAGATTCACAAACTTTTCTTCTGTATGTTTTTCTCTCAAAGAAAGAGCAAAGATAAGCAACAGAACAGATCAAGATGCAGTAAGCAGAAAATCTTTAGAAGCCAAGAAGGACTAAACTTTACAACACAGCCTTTCTACTTAAAAACCTCTCCTATTAGAACTCCATCATTGAACTAAATACTTACATTTTTACAAGAGAGGCGTGCAGGAGAGAAGGCGAAGAAGAGAAATACTGTAGTTTCCAAAAATGTAAACTAATGTTGCAGTAGAACATAAAACAATTGCACCAAAGCATACCCCCTCAGATACCTAAAAATCACAGCAACAAGACTGGACAGGACCTGTAATTAAGCATGGAATAGAGCTGATTAGGGAAACGCCTACACCCAACCTCCACCCCACAAAAAAAAAAAAAAAAAGAGGAAAAAAAGGGGAAGAAAAAGAAAAGAAGAATGAAAAAAAGAGGCAGGAAAAAAAGAAAGAAACCAATGACTTTTCAGAGCTGATCATCAACTCAAACCAATGTAAACAACATGCTGAGAAATCACTTCCAGCCATAAGACACATAAAAGAGGCGTCACAGAATCATTTGGAGATTATCAAAAGTATTACTAGACTAGCAGCATCTAAATAAAATCGGACCCTATTTGAGAACTATACCACACAGAACATGCATAAAATAGCATAAGAAAACAGATTATGATCCTCCCCCTCCTTCTCTGAAGAGGGATTTTGGATATCCCAGAGAGGAAACATTTCAGAAAGTAAGGAAATGTAGACTTCTCAGGGTGAGGCACAGCAGGTTTTAAAGTGTGTTACACAATCACTGCCTTTCCCCGTTCAGAAAATGTAATTAAATCGGAAAAAAAAGTCTAAATTACTTTACATACAATACATATATGCTACTCGGCACCACTCAAATATGGTATCAGGATTAAAAGTCATATTGTTCACATGATGTACCAGAAAGCCTTTAATAAGAAGTTCACAAACTTAACATAGGGAGTTCCCCACCTTCCAAATTAGAGAGCAAGTTAAAACAATTACATGCTGAACACAACTTCTGCTCATTCCAGCTACTGCAAGCCCAATTGCTAAATATAAAAGTTTTGATCTGCTGTTTCCTTATACAAGGTCACATTCTAGACCCCTATAAAAACACCACTAACTTAGAAGTGACATAGATCTGCTTTGCCACTTATTTTTGTTTACTAATAACTGTAGTAATAACTGTAAATATCTGGCTGCTCCTATTTCTTTAGGCACAATGAGACTTGGCAGAGACCCAATACAGAGCAAACATATTACAAGATTGATCATATGTTATATTTTGAAAGCATATTGCCTTTTATATTAAAAGTCCAGGTAAAACACTTGGTTATCTTAACCTTCAAAGGCTTCTCTTAAGGAGATCTTGCTTTCTTCTCAAAATACATTTTTCTGCTATTTTCCCTTTCGTTCCCCGAATTTTAAAGTCAGGAATAACTATAGGTAATTCAGATGAAGCACTTGCTGAGAAATTAGTATGCCTTTTGGTACTGCTGAAATTGTCATACGCTGAGGCAAATGTCTCGAAGAGAAGATGGAAGTATTTCAAATAAAAATTCAAGCAAAAACCTCAACATGATTCTATTGAACATGGCCTTCAGTAGACAAACCTCTTACCTCCAAATATCACTTCCTTTAGAAAACAGGGAGGACTTGATAACTTCTGGAGCCATCCATGCATAAGTTCCTGCTGCACTCATTTTGGTTGTTCGGTGCCATTCTCTAGCCAGACCAAAGTCTGTGATCTTCAAAGTTTTATTGGAAATGTCATCATGTTCCATCTTCTCTAGCAACAAAACTGTAAAAGAGTGGGTAAATTATGGTAATAAAATCAAAATGTCTAGTTCTGGTATTTTCACATACAATTCTTGCTTTGCAAATAGTTGTATATTTTAAGTATTTTGAAAATATTATTATGAGAAAATATATGAGAAAGCTAACAATTTAAGTTATTTTGAGCAATAAAAATAAAAAATATGTACAAGTTATGAGTTTTCTGCATCTGTGCAAGTAGACAGTAAGCTAGAAGAAGAAATCCAGAGTAAACAGGTGAAATAAATCACCTAAGATTAAAAAGCTCAGAATTCTAATAGCCCACAGGTGATGACAGATTGCAAAAGAGCTATTCACTTTGGAAGGATATTTTAGAGTAATAAAAAATTAAGGGAAGCAGAAAAAAAAAAACACAAGTGTTAAGAATATTTTAATAAAATGCCTAAGGGTACACCATGTTATTATATATATCTATCTTTAATATGGCACACAATTCAGGTCTCTTCCCATCTCAGACAGCATACAACAAAACCTGAAAGAGGCACAGAGAAGGACACAACTAGAATGCCTAAAGCAGCATGTCCTCAGCAACAAGAAATGGTTAAACAGACCAGGACTTTTCACCCAGGAAAAGAAACAACTGAAAAAAAATCAATGAAATCATGTATGGCAGGAAGAAAGTTATAGGGAACAACTGTTTGCAATTAGTCAACACAATAAATGGGCAACATGAAAACAAATTAGTCCAGGGTCAAAGACTGGCCATTCATACAACACATACATCCTTAAACTTGGGAATTCTTCGGCATCAAATACTATTATTCCACAGAGATTTAAAAAGCACCTACATAAATTCACAGAGGTCAACTCCATCAAGAGCACTCCATCAAAAGGTGGATTTAGGTTCAGGAAATCCCGAGTCACAGATCACTAGAGCTTGGGGGGCTATATCAGAGAAGTAAACTTGCTGCAAGCATTTACAGTCAGCAAGGGAACACCAGTCTTTCATCCATTCTATGTTAGGTTAATATCCACTGTAACTGCATGGTAGCTAAAGAGCAAATCATCTATTTTAGTGCAGCATTCTACAATGTGCATTTGCTTCTGTCTGACTTGATCCTAACTTATTATTGGCAATGTTGTAACACAGCTTTATAAAATGGCTTTAAAGGAAGAAACAAGAACTGGCTAATCCTGTCTTAGGAGAAAGATAACAGGTAGAAAGAATCAATGTGACCTTATTAACACAAATCTTAATCCCATATTTTGTTTCTAGTGTCCCTGTCGATGGTAGTAACTCTTAGTTTTAACATTCCATTAAAATGATCTCTAGGAACAGAGATTAAAGGTCAAATTACAAATAACAAGAGTCACTGATTTCCAACTCTATACACAACAGAACATAGCATAAGGGAACCCACTAAGAAAAAAAATGTGAAGAATTACCTTGCTTTGCAGATGAAAAAGCTGATAGCATATTAGTTGTGATTGCAAAAAAAAATATTTCTGCTGGTAGACATGAATTACACTGTTACAGGTATTTCAAAAACTAATGTCAAATCCAAATAAAATAGTAGAACACAAATTCCTTTTTCAGCAAGCTTCTTTACATAGTGGAGTAGAAATGAGGGCCCAAATCCTACAGAGAGTCTAAGAGCTCCTCAGTCAGCACTAGTAGAACAAGTTAAATTCACGCAAGAGTCTTTATTCCTTTAGGTTTGAATGAAAGACCTATTGTTTTCTATTCCATTTCAGACATGTTCAGCAGAATTCCTGACATTCCTCATCAGTCAATGTGACCGAAACCAAAAACAGCCAGTCTTGCAAAAGGTAACAACTGGCGCGTGGCCAAGTTTCATCCTACCAAGGGACAAGGTTTCTTAGTGATTCCGTTTCCGGTAGGTAGCTGGAAAGACAGGGATAGGATGTGCAGATTGCTCAGCAGCCGGGAAGTAAAAATGCTCAGCATAGCTGAGTAGTGCTAAGCAAGGGCCTCCCGCGGGGTGACGTAGCAGCCTTCCCTGCATCATCCTTCCGCGACTTCTGCAACCTCTTCTCTCTTGGGAGCTTACGCAAGGGCAATTTTACAACGCCGTGCTCAGCCTCCTCACACGCTTCGCTGCGACTGCTTTTAGAAAGCCTTTCAAGGGCCTTTTCAGAAGCCGATCCACACCTCCAGTATAAGGCTGGGCAAGGGGCAGCGCAGCGCTGCCTAGTTTACTCTAAAATTTTTCGGACTCTGTATTTTCCCAGAGTAAAGTTCTTATTTACATTATGTTCTCCTGCTGGCAAGCACAGGCTAGAGTCATTAAAGGAAAAATACATAGAACATTTGAAAATAAATTCAGTCCTAACAAGAAAAAGGAATTAAATTAGGAAAGCAGAAATATAGGAAAATCGTATGTTTTTTTTTCCCCCCAACCAAAAAAACAGAAGTATTTCTGAATGATTGAAACATCTAACAGAGAATGAAGAGTCAAAAAACATCCCTAACAAAGTTATTGCCACTTAGCCATATAGATGAACAGATCTTACACTCTTAAGATGATTAATTTGACTAAAAAGAAGGTGGAAATCCAGATATTATTTACCCTGGGTCAAAGAAGGAAGTAGCTCAGAATCATAAAGTAATTTAGGTTGGAATGGACCCCTCTGTGCAGAGGACTAATAATGTAGAAGACGTAAATGTACTATCAACCACTTTAATCAATTTGCAAAGTTATGGCACTTTTTGATAGAAGTAAACACATTTTCTGTATTTTATGAATTATAACCATATTCACGTGACTCTAGACATGACTGACTTAAATATTATCTTGAATAGAGTTTGAAGAATAAAATCAGTAAAGGCATTAAGTCATACGGAAGGCAGGATAAATTGCAGTGGAGCTAATTTACAAATTGGTTGTTGCACTAATCACATTTTTCCCTGATAGCTGATTTCTTAAAAAAGGACTAAGGCACCAGACCTGAGCAATGTGAGGGCCTTTTAGAGAGTCTTGTTCAGAGAGGTGGAATAAAGATGTGTAGAGGAAGAACTCGGTAAATTAGTTACTGGCATACAAAGGGATGATCAGGAATCTCTCTCCATTTGTCCCACAGGTCCATTAGCAGAGAAAAGCACAGGATGTGTTTCAAAAACTGAGGAGCAGAGTCAGAAATAGTGCCCACTTTGAAGAGCAGATCATTATGCTGGAAAACATACAAGGCTGGAAGGGGTTGATAACGGAATTTCCTCCTAAGAAATGGAGGTTAAGGAAGAAGAAAGGTCTGGATACCATGTTTGGCAGGAGAACTGAAGCAGCAGCTTCACACAGTTGCAAAAACAGATCATGTAGATCTAAAATGCATTACAGAGGCATTTTTTAGTAGAAACAGGGAAGCATTAAGACCTCAAATGAAATACTAGATAAATAAAGCTGCACATATATGTTCAAGAATGGGAACTTAAATTGGGGCAGATGAGGAAAATGGAAGTAGAATAATTAGGAAGCTGTAAATGTCTGTGTTATTTTGCTAGAAAAGCTTGGCTTGTTTGCTAGGCTAAGCAAAGATTGAGAACAGTTACGAGAACTGAAATTAGCCGGAGCTAGAAGCAGGACATAGGTGTAAAGCACTGGTGCTTCAATAACAGTGTAGCCCTGGCTGATCTGTCTTACTCGCATGCTCATAATTAAACCCACTTCTAGATCTGGGGCTATGGGTGTGTTTGTGCACGTAAGATTCATATCCCATTGCAAGGCACTGCCTCTTTTCTCCTGCACACTTTTGGTGCTCCTCTGCAGTATACAGCACAGCTTGCTCCTCAAAAGATTACATAAAATTCAACATACACTCTTATCAAGCCTAGCAACAGCATTAATCTTTTCTCCTCTTTTTCTATGTTATTATAGTTATAGCTGGCGTCTTATTCCACAAACTTTGGAACATACTGCCAGCCTTTTATGGTGTAACACTCTGCAGATAAGATGTTCCATGCACATTTTAAAACCAAAACTATCACGCAGTTACCCAAGACTGTGATGGAACTGGGTCTGTCGAGCCAGATGGTGCTTTCCAATTCTGTGTTCCTCCCTAACTAAAACAAAATCGGCAACATCTACAGAACCACTATTGTTCCCAGGCAACAGCAGCTCCTGGCCAGGGAGGGCGCAGAATGGGGCTAGGCAAGGAGCAGAATCGCAGGAAAACTCCTTCCAAGTGCTCTCGGTCTCCTTTTCCTGCATCGTTCCCTTTCCTACCTTTTTCTCCCTTTCCCTCACTCCATCTTTGGATTCCCTCTTCTCTGGAAACCACAGAGTACGAACACTTGGAGCTGCTGAGTGCCAAAGGTGACACCAGCCACAGCATCTTAAGCAAAGCAACAGAACAGATTTTTGAACCAGACTTGCTTTCCCTGCTCCATTCCCTTTGTCTATGGGTTTGGGTTAAAATTTTACTTACTTACCCCGCCCCTCCCCCCAAAAAGGATTATGAGATGTCAAATTCAAAGACAGAGAGAACTGAAGGTTGAGTGCAGGACACTAGTACAAGGTAAAACCATGTGTATGGAACAGGAGAGAAGCTAAACTACTATGGAAATGCAGAGAAGGGACTCGATCCTTATTTTGAAGGCATTGAGTGTTATCCCGTAGGGACACATTTCAGGACAGTATGTGGGAAAAAAAAAATGGGAAAGAACATATCAAATTTTGGGGCACAATTTTGTGCTCTCCTAAATTCAGGCACGATGAGGACTACATTCCCATGCTACCTTAAGTACGAGGCTGAAAGCCTGGAAAGAAGTTGCAAGCATTTGTTTAAATAGCAACCATTTTTGCTCGAAGCACAACGTTATACGAAAAGCTCACTTTCTTGCCCCAGTTTCTCTCCCACTAATTCCTTAGAATGTACACATCTTGAAGAACAGTATATGCAGTAAGCCTGAGAGAGGCAGAGCTTTTACTTAGCAGCTTACCCAAGAAACTTCCACCTAGCACTAGGATCTTCTGTGCTACTCTTCTAATACACATGATTATTTCCTGTAGCTTTACAGTTCTCT